ATCTTCGATAATGGCGCCAAAAGTTGATCGATTGTGAATGTATATGTTAAGGCAAGCAAATCTGTGCAAGTGTACACAATCGATGCAAGTAATATAGTAGTAAGTTAAGTTATCGTCTCCTCAGGGATTGGTGGAAATTTTTTATGTTTTGCCATAGCTATAACTAAATGTCACGAACTAGTCCTAAAATTCTTATCGAAACAGAAAACAATTAGTATCAAAGGATATAACCAGATGGAAAAGTATTGTGGAGTCAAGAATTATTGTGATGTATGGTGTACAGAAAAATTTGGTCGAGGCAAGGAAAATTTATAAGAGTAAACAAATAAAAATACTCAAGGTAAATAGAATTGTCGAGTTTAATATATTCAGGAAAAAACTCACATAATCAGACTTCTTACGGAGCACTTAGGTTGGTTTTGCTATGGTGAGAAGTTATTTCACGCTAAGGATGATTTAGTGCACTATACATAGGCTGCCCGACAGGATTACTAGGGTATTCAAGGACGATTGCTACAACAATACTACTCGGCATGAACTACAACCCTTGGTTTGTCAAAATGTTGTTGTGGCAATACCCCTCAGCCTAAATTGTAGTCTTTACCTATCCTACTCAAGTAGCTACCCCTTTTTGTCGAATAAAACCCTATCTTTATCTCTAAGGAGGATTAGAACCTCACCTTCCCAGATTAGTTCCGTTGTTCACGTAGATCTACCCTAACTCTCTCGATATTAGGCATCTATTCCTAGAAAAATAGCAATCTCTCGAAAGCTCTTACAAAGTCTAGGAATGTTTTGCCAATGCATCAGGCAATCTCTCAAAAGCTCTTACAGTGGCAAAGAAAAATATTAAAACAATGAACAAAACAACATTAAGCATAAGCAAACTTCATCATTCATTAACATTCAAAAATATTTTAACAAAACAATAACCAACACCAAGTAAAACAGTTCATGGTGCGGCAAATATCATCCAAAATTAAACATTCAGTACAAGCCCGTTAAGTGAAATAAAAATTAAGAACAAATGAATAAACACTCCCTAATAGATCTATGTTGTGACATTTTGACCACCACCAAGCCTCCTCTAGTGGTCAGCCTCTCTCGAGGGCCTGACTGCCGCTCCGATGAAGCCCGGCTATGGAGGGTACCTAGGATGGTCGAGTGAGGGAACGGTGAAAAATAAGGTGTTACAACCGCTTACTCCAAGCCTAGGGTATAACCTATCCTTGATTATCTATCTTTTTAGAGAGTATAATGGGGTATTTATAGTAGGAATTTCCAGGGTTTTGTTTCCTTGGAAATTCCCTAAATACCCCCATTGACTTACCCATTTTATGAATGATATAGCATCTAGAAGTGGTCAATTTCCTTGATGAGGGCATGATTGAATATGAGGATGAAACAGGGCAAATGACGTCAACAGTTGTTGAGCCACGTCGGATCTGCAAGATAAATCTTACCTCGACAAGAAAAATATATTCCTCATTGTCGTCTTCTTATGTTCCTCTAGCCCTAGGAAATTGTTTTGTCTCAGAAAATAAATTCTTCCTTAATTATTTCCTGCATCAACACAGACAACAAAGAACCTTCCTCCTCAGCAGCATCAGTCAAACCAAATAAATCTTTCCTTGGCAAAACTTATCCATCACATGCAAATATGACCTAAATGCAACTAAAATGCTATGACAAATGGCTTTTATACACACAATAACTAAAGTAAAAGGAAAAAAACATAGTATTTTTACGGAGTTATCATTATATATTTTGGTTTATAAATGAATAGTTTATTATGAAATTGATGTTTTCATGGGAATTAGAATTTTTATTCAGTATTTGTATTAAAAGTTATAAAGCAGTAATGTCCGATAAGAATTCAGATAATCGTACCGAACCAAAATTTCATAAAAAATTTGAAGGATGATAAAAAAGGGATGGAAATATTATTTCTATAATTTCAAACAATGAAGTTTAACATGAATTAGTAGAATTAAGGTCAATTTTCCATGTTAAATAGAAATTGGGAAATTTAGTGACTAAATTGTAATTTTAAAAAATTGCATGGACAAAGGTGGAAAGTCAATTTTAATGGTTCATCTTTGGCTTTGGAATATTAAAATGGAAGATATTTCAATGGTAAGTTGAAATTATCTTGTTTCATTAAGAGAAAAATGATAATTTCAAATTAATTGAATTTAAAATTCAATTATATTAGAATCAAGCCAATTGTATTATATTATAATTGAAGGAAAAATCAAGAAAATTTCAACACTTTTTTCTCCAACCAACTATGACTTCCACATCTAGGTAAGGGGGATTTTTAATTTCATTTCCAAGTTTCCATGGTTGATTTTTGGGTTATGATATTAGATAGAGAATTAATGTATTTGCAATTCTCTATCAATTGGTATAAATAGTTCATGGAAAACATGCTTGGATGATGAATTTCATGATTTAGGTGGATGAAAAACATGTTGGATTTTGAAGAATTAAAGCTTAATTTTTATGTTCTTGATGTTATAAATTAATTTCCAAGCCTTTGTAATGATCAAAATCAAGTAGAAAAGCATATATATGAATTAGCCATGGTAAGGGTTTTAAAGAATTGATAAAATTTGGATTCAATTTGATTTTAGGATGATTAGAATTGTATGAATTTTATCATAGGATGTTTAATTCATGCTTGAAATTGAATGAAATTCTTGCCCTATTTCTATATATAGGTTCGGCCATGAGGATTAAATTAGGGGAATATTATTCAAAAATTTCCTATGGTCTATAATTGATATTAGTTTGATTCTACATGCTTTGGAGATTCAATTGCATCAATTTGGAATCTTGAGATAGTAAAAGTACTATTTTGCAAGTTTTAAAAATTATGGGACATTGATGTGTAATTGTTCAATTATGAGCATTGAATGTTGGAATTTAGTATTTGGATGCTGAATTTTAACTTAGCATGTTATTTTGGACCAAATTACAAATTTGGTAAAGTTGATGGTTGAATTCGAATAGGCTAGGGAGTTGGGGATGTAATTGCATGTTTGTAAATGTGAAGGTACTAGATTGAGCATATTACTACAATGCTGGAAATTTTTTAGTATTGGTTTTTCAATTGAGAAAAAAGGTAAATGAACATTATGAATTAATTGGAAAGTTAGTGTGAATTTTAAAAGAATTCATACATGATGATATAAATGCGAAGTTTATGAAAGTTGAGTGATTGGTGATTAAAATAAATATTTATTGAATCAAAAAGTTATTTTTGGAAAGGTTGAAGTTGTTATGGATTAGTAAAGTGATTTGTATATCGATTAAATATCGTTATATTTTATGGAATTTTAATTATTGGATTTAGATTATTTAGTAAAATACTAACGTATATTTTGAATATTGCATTGTTTATATGATGTTATCCATACTAGATAAAACTTGTGAACCTAGCGAATCACAAACGAAGGAAAAAGTACGATAACAAAAGAATATCGTTATAAAAAGTTTGGTAGTGAGGCAAAGGTGAGTGCATTTTATTTATTTAATTATTATTGATTGAGGATGACTTGTGATAAGTCAACCTTGTATGATTTTTAAAGAATGGTTTAAATCAAATTATGGAAAATTTCCATAATGTTTACTAAAATGTTTTATGAATTCTTTTAGGGTATGAACTGCCCAATGTACTGGTTTTGATAAACAATGTTTGAAAATGTTATTGATTGGTTATATTGGATATACAAATGGTATAATTTTTCCTAAAGCCCATTGTATGTTGTATTGAAAGTCTTGGGTACATTTGGCATGCCATGAAGTGGAGTGATCTATGTTTATAGATATTGATGTAGTACAATCGTGTGACACCACTGGTACAAATTATATGAGCCACTTTTGAGTGCATATTATTGTTTACTGATAAGTCACATGGAGTGTTTATTGCGCGAACTCATCTAATTCATGTATCTTGTATTCTCTTAGATATACATTGGGCTATGAAATTAAAATGTGAAAGTACTGAATATGTGAGCGAATGGAAATGGATATTTATTGATTATTGTTAGTTGATAATGGTAGTCATGGCTTTTATAAAATCATGAGATATTGATTTTTCAGGTTTACTGATGATGAAAATGGATTATTTAAGTTGGTTTGGAAATTCAATTGTTTATTTGAATAAATTATATTATTTTGAATTATTATGTTATTTTTATATTATATTTTACCTCGGTTTATTTATAATGCTTCACTAATTTATTCTTAGCGTGTGATAAATTTCATGCGTAGGTAAAGATAAAGATAAGGACGTGAAGTGAGGAGCCTTATGAGCATGTTTTTGGGAATCGCAACGACCTATTGTATCAGTAAGACATCTATGATGTTATTTTGGCTTTTTAGTGGCATGTAAATTATTATTGTTTGGTTGCCCTGATAGATTATTTAAAATAGTAAATTAGAATTGCTTTAGTTATGATTAGTATTAATTATGCCTAATAGTATGTGTGTGTGTGTATTTATAGTATGTTTTAAAGTTAATTGAATAATTTTTTAATTTGGTAGTGTTTAGACAGTTTTATGTATGTTAAAACCAATATTGAACTGCCTAGTTGCTGCCTAAAATCAAATTTAAATTAGATGATACAATATTAATTTATGATTTTACGTGATTAATTAAGTTGATTTTAATTGTTAAATTGAAATTTTAAAATGGAACAAAATTTTACAGGTGTTTGTGTATGAAATTTCACTACTCTAGGTTTACTTGGGTTCTTTTCTTAAGTACAAAAGATGAAGCTTTAGAAAATTTCGTTACTTTCTCTAAAATAATCCAAATGAAAAAGGTTAGTCTATTTCAAGTGTTAGGAGTGACCATGGAACCAAATTTGAAAATCTTGGGTTTGGTTTTTTTGTAATTCAAATGGAATTAGCGATAATTTTTCAGCCCCTAGAACCCCTCAACAAAATGGAGTTGTTGAGAGGAAAAATAGAACTTTAGAAGAAATGGCTAGGACCATGCTTTGTGAAAATAATTTTCCAAAATATTTTTGGGTGAAAGCTACAAATACCGCTTGTTATGTGATTAATAGAGTAATGATTAGGCCTATTTTAAAGAAAACTCCATATGAACTTTTCAAAAATAAAAGCCTAACATTATTTATTTTCATCATTTTGGATGCAAGTGTTTTGTTTTAAATAATGGAAAAGATAATCTTGGCAAATTTGATGCAAAAAGTGATGAAGGGGTTTTTCTTGGTTACTCTTTAAATTCTAAAGCATATCGAGTCTTTAATTAAAGAACATTAGTGGTAGAAGAGTCAATACATGTTGTTTTTTATTATAATCCCCTTCCAAGGAAGGATTCTTCTATTGTTGATGATGATGTAGGTATCTTAAATTCAAATGAAGTTGGTGAATCATCATCGAAAGAAGTGAAGGATGAGGAAACTTGAGATGCCTTCAAGAATCTAACTCTAGAGGAAAGGGAAGTCACATAACCAAGGGAGTACAACTATATCAAGGATGGTGAAATTTTGGGTGATCCATCCAAAGGGGTAACCACTAGATCTTCTCTTAAAAATATTTGTAATTATGTTGCATTTTTCTCATGCATAGAGCCTAAGAATATCAAAGAAGCATTAAATGATAAGCATTGGATTATGGCTATGCAAGATGAGTTAAATCAATTTGAGAGAATTCAAGTATGAACATTAGTTGAAAGGCCTAGTAATATGTCTACTATAGGTACTAAATGAGTATTTATGAATAAATTATATGAAAGTAGCAATGTAGTGAGAAACAATGCTAAACTTGTTGCTCAAGGGTATACTCAAGAAGAGGGAATAGATTTTGATGAAACTTATGCTCCCGTAACTATGATGGAGTCTATTAGAATGTTATTAACATTTTAATGTTATCATGGATTTACATTATTTCAAATGGATGTTAAAAGTGCATTTTAAATGGTTTTATAAAAGAAGCAAATGTGGAACAACCTACCAATTTTGAGGATTCAAATCCAAATCATGTTTTCAAATTGATAAAAGCTTTGTATTGTTTAAAACAAGCTCCTAGAGCTTGGTATGAAAGATTATCAAATTTTGTTATTGAAAAGTGTTTTTCAAAAGCGAAGGTTGACACTACCTTGTTTATAAAATGTAAATGTAAAGATTTATTAGTAGTTCAAATTTATGTTGATGATATAATTTTTGGTTCTACTAATGATGTTCTTCACCAAGAATTTGCTAAGCTAATGTAAAGTTAATTTGAGATGAGCATGATGGAGGAGCTTTTATTTTTCTTGGAGCTCCAAATCAGGCAAAGAAAAGATGGCATCTTCATCAATCAAACTAAATACATCAAAGATATGCTTAAACAGTTTGGATTGGAAAATGTGAAACCCGAAGTCACTCCTATGAACTTATCTACAAAGCTTGACAAAGATGAAGAAGGTAAGTGTGTAGATGTTAAGCTTATAGGTCTATGGTTGGATCTTTGCTTTATCTTACCGTAAGTAGACCAGCCATTATGTTTAGTGTTTGCTTATGTGATGGATTTCAATCATGTTCAAAGGAGTCTCACTTACAAGCCATTAAGAGAATCTTTAGATACCTTAAGGACACTCCTAGCAAAGGACTTTGGTATCCTAGAGACTCTAGCTTTAGCTTGCATGCTTTATCGGATGCGGATTATGGAGGTTGTAAATTAGATAGGAAAAGCACATCCGGTACATGTCAATTCCTAGGAAATATGTTAATTTCTTGGTTTTCAAATAAGCAAAATAGTATAGCACTATCTACCACCGAAGCGGAATATATTTCAGCTGGTAGTTGTTGTGCACAAGTTTTATGGACGAAACAACAACTTTTAGACTATGGAATTGATGTGGATACCATTCCTATCAAGTGTGAAAATACTAGTGCTATATGTCCCACTAAAAATCCCATCAAACATTCTAGAACTAAGCACATAGAAATTAAGCATCATTTCATTAGAGATCATGTCTCAAAAGAAGATATATTTCTAGAGTATGTAGATACTTTCCATCAAGTAGCTGATATTTTTACAAAACCTTTAGACAAAGAAATATTTTGTGCACTTAGGAGAGAATTAGGTCTAACCAACCTACCTTGACTTTGTGTTTAAATAATTTTTGCAGTTTTATGATTTTATGAAAAATGCAAGCAAAATGACAGTTTTAATGTCTTCTATGCTATTAGTTAGGGGGAGTTTATGATTTTCATGAAAATTACCAATTAGAGTTGCCTATACCATTTCTATGCTTTGAAATTTGCATCCTATTTTCTTTTGTTGCACTTTTTGAACCATTATGTGCACTTAGTACCGGTATTGTTCATACAATACCGATATTGTTCTTAGTTAGTGTCGATACTATTCATATAGTACCGATACTATTCTTGCAGCCTCGATAGGGTATCGATACCATCCAACTTTTCCTTTGAAGTATCGATACTCCCATTGGAGTACCGATACTCCCCATCGGTTTTAACTTATAAAACCCTAAAATATCATTTTTTTTCTTCCCATCTCTCTAAACACTCGCCGCACCTCCCTATATCCTCTCTTAAAATTGCTTCATTCCATCATTTTATAGTCGAATTTGAATTATTTTTCATCTCTCCTACCTGCTAGCATCATCAAAATCGTACATTTATCATCAAATTCCATCTCAATCCTATTATTTCAAAGTAATTTTTTAAACCCTAATTTTTTTCTTTTCAAATTTAGGGATAGTTTTAGTTAGTTTTTTTTTCATAAATTAGTGAATGGGCTTTACTTATTTTGTATTTTTACACTAGAATCTACAATTTGTTTTAACAAACCATCTTCAAATTCAAAATTTCATAAAAAAAAACTATAAGTTTGATTATATATATATATATTTTTGTTTTCATAAAAAAAATTAAACACACTATTTTTGGCCTATTATATTAAATAAAATAATTTAGTTACAAATTACCTTGAATTGTGGCCTCATATTAGGTTTTGGGATTAATTGAGTGCATACATAGGCATTGTCTTTCTTTGCAGGTTTTATCCTCATTCTGATTTTTTTACCATGTCTCACAAACGTCCTCGATCATCTTCCTCCCGTGCTAATCCACCTCCTAATCCTCCGCCAAATCCTCCTCTCAATCCAACTGAAATGACCATCGTGAAATCATGTTTTAATGAACCAAATCGTAGAAATCTTTATTCACGATATCTCAACCATTTAGAGTCTTATGCAATTAGGGGTGAGCGTCTTTCTTCTATTTCTGCAATGAACGAAATGAAATTTAAATACCTACCACTTCTCAAAGCTGGGAAATTAGACAACACATTCAAAGTCAAACCCGTTGTCTATCACCAACTCGTCCACATTTTCTATTCTAATTCGGTGTGTGTCCAAAATGAACCTCATACTCATATGGCCCATGCTTTTGGTCTAAAAAACACTGGAATTGATAACGAGTAAGACACCGTCCCTTCTTCCTTAAAAGTATGAAAGAGCACAAGTATCCTTGACATTCATGAGAGGTTTCTTCACTTGATTATTTCTTGGTGCTTTCGACCATCCGGAGGCAAGTAATCCTCTTTCCAAAGCATTGACATATGGTGGCTCCACTGTTTTGAATGAAATAAAAGAATTAATCTAGCTCAAATCATCTTCGGTGAACTAGTGGACACATTGTACCATATTTCTTCTAAGAGGGTCGAGTCTTTGGTTTATGGTTGTCTTCTTAGTAATTTCTTTATAAAAGTTTATCTTAAAGTCGAACTCGATGTTGTTATCCCCTTGAGCACCCCAATGGATATTTTCTTTCTCCGCAAGTCAGGATGGACTAAAGTTGGAGCAAATTGGGAAAGGACACCTAAAAAGACACCCAGTGCTAGTTCTTCTCAAGCAGTTCTGGCTCCTCCTCAGGTCGATGATGTTTTACAAGATGTTGATGATCCCGTAAATCGTGTCCCTGACGAGCCTCCTAGCACTGGTAGTGAAATGCCTCCCTATTTTCAATCTCTAATGGAGACATTAGATTTAAGGTTTGCATCTATGGAGTCCCACTTTACTGCCTTCGGGACTCAAGTGTCCGAGCAGCAAGCAATGTATTTGGCTTCCCAACACGACACCTAGCTCGATTCAGCGTCGTGACAGATAGGCTCGATGCTCTTTCTCAAGACTTTGCCTCTTTCCATGCACCCCGTTCGAATCCTGATCCTCCATCGGATGCTTGATGATGATTTTGCTTTACTAGTTGTTCTTTTGTTGGTGTTGCAATGTCATACTTTAAGCTTTCAAATTCCTTTGAATTTCTTAGCATTTGATATTTTGGATTTGGTGATACTGTTATGTTTTGGATGATAGGATTTAAATTTATCATATTTCGCATATTTGTTTTTCCATGTTTCCTCTTATTATGTTTATAACCATGCCCAATATATTTTGGGTATTATTTATGTTGACTGACCTATTTGACACATTTGTTCTTCACATCTATATTTTATATCTTGTTTATTTTTTCTTATTTTTTTTTATTTAACAAAAAGTGGGAGAAATGTTAAAGGGGGAGTATATTTTTCACGTAAATCTTAAAAATTTTAAAAATGTTTTGTTATATAAAGAAGGGGGAGATTGTTGAAAAAACTTTGATATTTTGATATACCAAACAAAATTGTTAATTAGTTTTTACAAATTTTAAGATTATATTTGATTCAATCATTAGAATATATAAAATTATTTTTTAAATTTAAAATGTCAATTTTTACTCCTTACTCTATTGAACTTTAAGTCCTATAGTGGAAATATTTTTGAAATAATTTTTACTATGGGTTTCGAACTTTAATCGAGTCAAAAATAATTTTCACGCATAGTAGTACCGATACTACTAGAACAGTGTTAATACTGTTAGTTTTTACAAATTTTAAGATTATATTTGATTCAATCATTAGAATATATAAAATTATTTTTAAAATTTAAAATGTCAATTTTTACTCCTTACTCTATTGAACTTTAAGTCC